CTGGGGCCTTCGGTGGAGCTCCCTATGGAGCCACGAAACGTGTGAGGGGTGTGCCGAAATGGGTGTGGGTGACGCATGCGGCCGCGGCCACTGGGGCCTTCGGTGGAGCTCCCTATGGAGCCACGAAACGTGTGAGGGGTGTGCCGAAATGGGTGTGGGTGACGCATGCGGCCGCGGGCACTGGGGCCTTCGGTGGAGCTCCCTATGGAGCCACGAAACGTGTGAGGGGTGTGCCGAAATGGGTGTGGGTGACGCATGCGGCCGCGGGCACTGGGGCCTTCGGTGGAGCTCCCTATGGAGCCACGAAACGTGTGAGGGGTGTGCCGAAATGGGTGTGGGTGACGCATGCGGCCGCGGGCACTGGGGCCTTCGGTGGAGCTCCCTATGGAGCCACGAAACGTGTGAGGGGTGTGCCGAAATGGGTGTGGGTGACGCATGCGGCCGCGGGCACTGGGGCCTTCGGTGGAGCTCCCTATGGAGCCACGAAACGTGTGAGGGGTGTGCCGAAATGGGTGTGGGTGACGCATGCGGCCGCGGCCACTGGGGCCTTCGGTGGAGCTCCCTATGGAGCCACGAAACGTGTGAGGGGTGTGCCGAAATGGGTGTGGGTGACGCATGCGGCCGCGGCCACTGGGGCCTTCGGTGGAGCTCCCTATGGAGCCACGAAACGTGTGAGGGGTGTGCCGAAATGGGTGTGGGTGACGCATGCGGCCGCGGGCACTGGGGCCTTCGGTGGAGCTCCCTATGGAGCCACGAAACGTGTGAGGGGTGTGCCGAAATGGGTGTGGGTGACGCATGCGGCCGCGGGCACTGGGGCCTTCGGTGGAGCTCCCTATGGAGCCACGAAACGTGTGAGGGGTGTGCCGAAATGGGTGTGGGTGACGCATGCGGCCGCGGGCACTGGGGCCTTCGGTGGAGCTCCCTATGGAGCCACGAAACGTGTGAGGGGTGTGCCGAAATGGGTGTGGGTGACGCATGCGGCCGCGGCCACTGGGGCCTTCGGTGGAGCTCCCTATGGAGCCACGAAACGTGTGAGGGGTGTGCCGAAATGGGTGTGGGTGACGCATGCGGCCGCGGGCACTGGGGCCTTCGGTGGAGCTCCCTATGGAGCCACGAAACGTGTGAGGGGTGTGCCGAAATGGGTGTGGGTGACGCATGCGGCCGCGGGCACTGGGGCCTTCGGTGGAGCTCCCTATGGAGCCACGAAACGTGTGAGGGGTGTGCCGAAATGGGTGTGGGTGACGCATGCGGCCGCGGGCACTGGGGCCTTCGGTGGAGCTCCCTATGGAGCCACGAAACGTGTGAGGGGTGTGCCGAAATGGGTGTGGGTGACGCATGCGGCCGCGGGCACTGGGGCCTTCGGTGGAGCTCCCTATGGAGCCACGAAACGTGTGAGGGGTGTGCCGAAATGGGTGTGGGTGAGCTCCCTATGCCATGTGAGGGGTGTGCCGCGCATGCGGCCGCGGGCACTGGGGCCTTCGGTGGAGCTCCCTATGGAGCCACGAAACGTGTGAGGGGTGTGCCGAAATGGGTGTGGGTGACGCATGCGGCCGCGGCCACTGGGGCCTTCGGTGGAGCTCCCTATGGAGCCACGAAACGTGTGAGGGGTGTGCCGAATTGGGTGTTGATGATGATGATGATGATGGGAGGGAGGAGGAGGCAGCGGGAGGAAGGAAGGAAGGAAGGAAGGAAGGAGAACGCGGGGCACCGTCTCTTCAAAACGAGGACCCAACACCACAGGATGGTTGGGAAAAACGAATGGCTAGGCTGGGCAACGGTTACCGGGGCCCCGTAAGGCTTACCAAGATTACCTGCGTTTAGTAAGGCGCACATAGCGCAAAGGGCTCAGCAGAGCTCACCAGGGCTTCTAAAATCTAACCAGAACCTAACAGTCCACAGGGGGGCGTACCAAGACTTAGCAGGGCTTTGCATAGCTTGCAAGGTCTTAGCAGCGCTTAGCAGGCCCAGCAAAACTTAGCAAGGCTTAACAGGCCTTAGCAGGGCTCACCAATGCTTAGCAAACCTTCCCAGGTCGCAGCCAGCCTAGCAGGGCTCAGCAAAGTTCAGCAGGACCGAATTAAGGTTTCGCAAGGATGAGCAGGGCTGAGCAAAGTTTGCCAAAGCTGAGGAAGTCTTGATAAGGCTTAGCAAGGCTTACCGGCTCAGCTGGGTTAACCAAGGCTTACCAAGCTTGACAGCGCTTAGCAGAGTGTCCCAGGGCATAGCAAATCTTATCTAAGCTTAGCAGGCTTCTACAGGGCGCACCAGGACATAGCAAGGCTTTGCAGAGCTTGCCAGGGCCTAGCAATGCCAGGAGATGAGGATAACGATGAAGAGAACGAACGAAGCAAGACAAAACTGTTAGTAAGGGCTGGCACTATCCCCTGGCCTCGCGGGAGGTCAGTCTCCACGTTGTCGTCCTCCTCCTGCTCCTCCTCCTCCTCCTCCGCCTACTCCTGATCCTCCCTGCTTCTCCTCCTCTAATCCTCCCTGCTTCTCCTCCCCCTATTCCTTCTCTTCCTTCTCTTCATAGCCTTACGGTCAAACCTCGAGGATCGAAGACGAGGAAAGGAAAAGGGAGGATGCCGAGACCATTTCGGGTGACGGCCTCTTCTTCGTCTGCCCAGACTCGGACCATCGGGCTCAGCTGCAGATAAGAAGTAACTTCCTCCACCCTGCTGCTCCTGCCCCTGCTCCTCCTCGGCATCAAAATCAAAATTGTCATCCTCATTCTCTCCCTCCCTCCCTCTCATCCTCCTCCCGTTCTCGTTCTTCATCTCCTGATGTTCCTCCTCATCTTCCCACTCGTCCTCCTCGTCCTGATCCATCACCCATCCTCGTCCCTCGTCCATGCCCCATCCCCCCTCCCCTTCACTCTCCTCCTCCCATTCCCCCTCTTACTCCTCCCCCCTCTCCCTACCCATACCGCCCCTCCTCCATTCTTGCTCCTTGTGAATAACTCCTCCCCGTCGCACCCCGAAGACGGTCGAAAGGCTAGGCCGGGCGTTTTGCCTGAGACTCCTTCGCAACGTATGATCCTGAAGCTTGCAAATTGCAGCAGCTTCACTGATGGAAGGCTGTCAACTTTCGCAGTGTAACTCTCGCCTTAGCGCTGCGCACATTCGTCTTCAACCTGTGCAATCGTTTTACGGATGGAGGACGGCTCCATTTCAAACTGTGGCTCTCGCCTGAGCGCCGCGCACACTCATGGATGGAGAGCGGCTCCTTTCCAAGATGTGGATCTCGCCGTAGCGCCGCGCGCACTCGCCTTGAAGGTGTGCAAGCGTTTCACGGATGGAGGGTGGTTCCTTTTCAAAATGTTGCTCTCGCCTCAGCGCCGCGCACATTCGTCCTAAGAAATTATAGCAATTTCGAGGATTCGCATGGTTACCGTCCCAGAACTAATTTTGGGCACGATGACGACACGTCAGGGCGCAACAATCAAGTTGATTAGCGGTGTTGTAGTCCCAGGAGTGGCGTTCTGGCACGATTCATGATCGTGAAAACGCAATAGTGATTGTGATTTGCAGCGATGAAATCCCAACAATGGCGTTCTGACACAATTCCCGATGTTCTAACAATTGCCTTCCAACAAAATAGTTCCCTCGGTAGAAATGAACCCGTGCAGGAGCCGGTGAAGAGGGAACTTGGAGGGAAGGTTATTGCATTGTCGTTGATGGGTCTTGGGTTTACACTTTCCTCCTCCTCCGTGCCCCCCCCCCCCGCTCTTCAGTATCAAAACCTGTAAAGAGCTACTCCCTGTCGAACCCCAAGACGTGACGGTAAGGCGGGCCAGAAATTTCGCCTGAGCCTGCATCTCCGTGTGCAAGCCTGAAGCTTGCATTCCCAAATAATTACACGGGCGGAGAAAGCTCAAAATGACACTCTCCCCTCAGCGCGGCGAACATCCGACTGAAAAACTTGCAACTGTTACAGAAAGTTTGGAGGTGATCCAATCAACAAACTATCGCCTTAGCGCCGCACACATTCGCCATCAAAGCTTGCAACGACTTCACAAATAGTAGACTGGTCGTTTTCAAAACCGCCGAGGCGCCACTCACATTCGACTTTGACGGCGTGGAACAATTGCAAAGATGAAGCACGAGTCGTTTTCAAAATGGGGCGCTTGCCGTAGCGCCACGCCCATTCGTCTTAAAAGCTTGCAGCAGTTACACGGATTGGGGGCAGCTCCTTTTCAAACAGTGGTGCTCCCCGTCATGCCGCGCACATGCGTTGTACAACAAAGGGGGACGCTGCTATTCTGAAAGTGGTCTCTCGCTTGAGACCGCCTTTACCAAAACTTCGCCAGGTGTCGCAGCTGCGCTGGAGGGCGGTCACTTTGCAGAGCGAGGCTCGCAGTTCATGGCCAGAAGCGCAGACTTGCGCAACTGTTGCACAGTTGCGGGGGGGGGGCATGCTCTCTCAAGGGATATCGCTGGACACCTGGCCGAACTGCATGATCCTAACTTGCCACCCTCCTGTCTCGAGGGATGCAAAGTAGCTAGTTCTCAAAACGGGGCTCTCGCGTGAACGGTAGTCACGTGGGGTGCTGGTCTTTCAAAGCGTGATCATTGTAGTGCAAACGCGGACTTGCAAGGACGTATGAACTTGGGCTGGGAAGGTGTCCAGCAGCATCGCTGATGCAGATCGGGTTTGCTTTGATCCTCCTCCTACCCCGCCTGCTCCGTTCCCTCCTCCTCCTCCTCTTCCTCCTCCTCGTCATCCTCCTTCTCCTCCTCCTCCTCACCATCATTATCACCACCACCAACACCACCATCACCATCACCATCACCATCACCATCACCATCACCATCACCATCATCATCATCATCATCATAATCATCATCATCATCATCATCATCACCATCAGCATCATCATCATCATCATCTTCATCATCGTCATCATCGTCATCGTCATCGTCATCATGCTATTCCTCCTCCTCCTCCTCCTCCTCCTCCTCCTCCTCCTCCTCCTCCTCATCCTCCGTACCCAGCCCCTTCGGCGAAGATGATTGGATGATCATGAGCAGTTCGGAACCCTGCAGTTCGGGTCCCTGCGCCTACCCATGCAAGCCATGGCGCCCGCGCGGCGCCCGCAGAACGACGCGGCGGCACTTGACGCAGCGCTGGCAGGGGCGACGCGCGGGTGCTTTGCCGCCGCGCCCCGCAGCTACCCCTCCCCCCGCCCCCCCGCTGGGGGTTGACGAAGAGCACATCCGCCCGCAGGCCCGGGCCTCCCTCAGCTGCTGCCGCACGAGCAGAACAGGGAAGCCCACCACGGCTGCTGCGCGGGGCCCTCGCTGCCAAACTCCGGCTCCAGCACGACCTGCTCGCGGGCGACCCTGCCCGGCGCCTCGACGCGGGCCGCCCTGCCGTCCACCTCTGCGCGACGAGGGGCGCTGGCCTCCTCCCTCCGTCCACCTCGCCCCTCCTCCCTCCATCTTCCCCGCTCTCTCCTCCCAGGACCTCCCTCCTTCTTCCTCCCCCATTCCTCCCTCCTCCCTCCATCCCCCAACCTTTCCTGTTCTTTCCCCCTTCCCCCTCCCTCCTCCCTCCCCTTTGCGCGACGGGCGCCGCGGGAATTCTCTCATCGCCCTGCCCCTCCCCCGGGAGGGATAGCGGGCGGAAGGGGGTCCAGGGCTGAAGGGGGGTAGCTGTGCCCCTGGCGAGCCACACTGCAAGCAGAGGAGAAAGGATGATCAGAAACGGCCGCGGGCCAGACCAAAAGGTCACAAAGCACGACCGCACGCGGAAGGGAAGGGGGAGGGTGGAGGGATCGGGAGAGGAGCTGGGCGAACAGCTGGGGCTATTACGGCACCCCTTGGGAATATACCTAGTCCCCCGCAGCTGCGGATAAGAGAGAGGGTGCTTGGCGGCGCTCTTGGAGGCCACAGCGCGCTCGCTGCTAGAGGAATTGAACCGAAACCGCTACGGACACACCGCCCCTCTTTGGTGAGCCCTCCAAGCGTGCCAGCGTGGCCCCCAGCGTGGATCCCAGCGTGGCCTCCAAGCGTGGCCTCCCAGCGCGGCCTCCCAGCGTGGCATCCGAGCGTGGAGGCGGGACGAGGGAGGAGGAGGAGGAGGAGGAGGAGGAGGAGGAGGAGGAGGAGGAGGAGGACGAGGAGGAAGGAGGTTATTGTTAGCCGAGGGGCTTCGCGCGTGCGCACTCCGTGACTCTTTGCCTGGCAACAGCAGCAGCAGCACACGAGACCAAAAAGGAATCTAAAGCTACGCCGCTGAAACCACGGACAGAGCCTAAAAAGGCAAATCTGGCTCCCACCCAAGGACCCCAGGAGGGCGGGAGGTGGAGGCGGAAGAGAAGATCCCGCCTCGTAGCACACCGCCTTGAGCGGCCCACGGCGCACGGGCGGCGTGGGCGGCCCGAAGCCTGGCCTGCCTGCGCTCGCGCGCCTGCACTCGATTCGCTCGAATACGCTCGAGCTGCACCTCGGTGAGGGGGGGAGGAAGAGGAGGAGGAGAAGAAAGGGAAAGCCCAGACATGGCAGTAAAATTCACTGCCTCGGCACACATAAGGTCTAGGTGCGTTTGTTCCTCGACAGCCTCATTCTCGGGGTCCTCCTCCCACGGATCAGTCTGTTGCTCATCCGGCCCTGGGGCTGGGGACTCGCCCGAGGTGGCGATCGAGGGATCTGAATTCCTCTGGGAAGGCACAAACCCGAAACGCTCCAACTCAGGATCGACACGACGACGACCAGATCGACGAGCGAAGTCGGGAGCGGCACAAAATCTGGAGTCCAAATCTTGCGGCCAGGGAACATAGAAAGCCATTAATCCAGCTCTCAGCTCCTCTGGGTCGGCTCCAAAACTGAAATCAGCCTCCTCAACCGACTCTTGCGGCACTACGAGAGCGGAAAGGCTGTCAATAACGGCCGAAGCTATCGCCTTGGACAACCCGCTAGAGTACGTCTTCTTAGCAGCAGTCCTGAAATCACCATTCCCCCTTTTGCCCAGGAGCGCGCTGTGCACTCCTCTGCCGTGGGAGCTTTTCCCACCGCCAGGGGTGGCGAGGAGGTGGGAGCGGAGAGAGGGGAGACGGAGGCCGATAAGGCGCGCGGGGGCACGCCCAACAGAAGTCCAGGCAGTTTCTGGCGGCATGTGCTCGCATTGGTCAAAATCAACAGCACACGCATGGGGAGCGGAAACTATGGCAACGAGGGGCTTCCATCTGAAAGAAATCGGGGCACCAGGGATCCAGGTGGCTGGAAGCGGATGCTCCATCCAACCGCTGGTGCCAGCCTTCATGTGCGCGGCGAGGAGGCGAGCTAACGCAGCTGAAAGCTGGGCCCCCATTGAAAGCTGGGGGCTCTGGCGAACCGTGCACCAAGGGACGCCCCAGAAATGCTCATTCGCGCGTAAGGGGGGGGGCCCTCCGTCATACCACCTAGCAGCGCTCCAAGTCTCGCAGGCCCCCCCCCCTGTGTTCAAAACTCTGCGGGCAGCCAGATGGCCTACCCACTCCTCTATGACATCGTGCTGGGTGAGGTCGCCTCTCCTCGCATCGATCGCGACATCGATCGACAAACAGTAAACAGCGCACGTCGAAGCTGGCCACTCGAATTCAAGATGCCACTGAATGTCTCCTGTACGCCTCATGCCCGAGAACAAGTTTAAAAACGAAAAACTCGGGCCGTTTAATCCGAAATGGCAGCTCGGTGGCCGCGACCCGAGTGAAGTCCTGAGGCCGAAAGGGCCAGAACCTATCATCCAGCTGCAGGGGGGCCGCCTTGGGCCTAGGCCTAGACAAACTGATGCACTCCTGGGCGGCCTCAGGAGTGAACGCAAAATCGGACTCAATCAGGGCCTCGCGCGCATCCTCCTCAGACATGGTAGCCAGCTCGAGTTCGAAGGGGGTCGATGGTCCTGGTTGACGGAAGGCAGGGAATTCAGGGCGCCAACGTCCTTTTCCTGCCGCACGCTGCTTTGATGCCGCCTCTGCGTCCTCTTCGTTGAGCCGAGCACATTCCTCCGCCGAAGTAGAACGAGGTTGGGCAAGAAGAGCGACCGCGCACCGAGGAGCGTCGAAGGCCAGGTGTTCTGATAACGCTCGACGACTGGCGAACTTCATTCTACACATAGAACACCTCGAAGTCGGTCCGAGCATCGAGCGAACCTGATCGATGAAGGACCGATGTTGGCGAACGATGTGTTGCTTAAGGCCAGTAGGGGAAGGCGAGATAGCTGAGCACCACATACAAGAAAACCTGGGAGCCTCCTCCGCCTCCAGCACACGCAGCGGGTGCTCTGGGTGGTCCACCGGCTTGGGTACTCCTGATTCGTAGAGGTCCTGAAAGATATCCCGTTCGGCCCTGTCAGCTTCTGCAATACGGGAATCGCAAGCAACCTGAGAAGCCACTCCCGCAGAAACGATAGTCTTCCAACCCAAAGCAGATGTTCGGACCAGGGCTTCCCATACGGGTAAGTTGGCAGCGGGCGGGGGGTACTTGCGCAATCGGTGAAGACGGCGTCGCAAACACTCCAGATCTTCCAAAACCTGATGCATCCAAGTCCCCCGCCCTTCCTCCAGACAAAGCCTGGCTAACCCCACCAGGTGACTGGGGCCAGCATGCAGAAGCCTTCCAAACAATCTCAACCTGCGGGCACGAATCGCCGTATTGGCGTCTGGTTTCTTAGCTTGGGCAAGAATGTGGGAGTGCGGAATGGCTGTTTGGTCCTGCCTTGGCCTGTGGAACACCACGCGGTACATACGAACGACCTCGTCTGACAAGGTCGCTAGTTGCGCTTCTGAAAGTGCAGGCCACGTGCCAGCGTTGAAAAGCCTGCTGGAGCACATGAGAGAGTCCACGAGGATGAGGCCAACCTGCTTATCTAATTGAGGATCCGCAGAACACGCCGTAAAACTTTCCAAGAAGCCGTGCAGGAAGGACTTCTGTGGGCCAGCTCGGGGCCCAAGGCCCCCGCTTCGTCCAGAACAGTACCCAGGTGAGTATACTGGCGGACCGCGTGCAGCGTAATATATCCAAGATGTCGGGTGGGAACTAAAATATTACCTTGGGCTGTTCTCCAGAGATCAGACCTGGCCTTGACCGAACCTACTCCTCGAAACTGAAATAACAACGCGCTCTTGCCCTTAGCCGTGTGCAGCCTCATGCCCCTCTCTGCAAAGGCATCAAGAATGGTGGCAGCAATGAAGGGAGCGAACCTGAGAAGGGTCTGCGCTTTCCCGAGGAACATAAACATAGCATCGTCGAAAAAAAAAGAAAGATCCATAGAATGACCCATGTATGTAGCTTCGTCTTCCACGCCAGGCCCCAGGGAACGGAGATCACTCACCGGGAAACGAACATCGATGCCGTATTCAAGAATACGGGCCTGCACGATTTTCATGATGGCGCCCATAACATAGTTGAAAACCACGTCCCCCAGCTGTCGTCCTGGCCCCGTCCCCAGTTGTGGAAACGCGAACTCGGCACTGCCTGGGAGTATATACCAACTCTGATCGTATGAATCAGACACTTGGGCGTGCACACGGCTGCTGATACCTGGAGCGTCACTAAAAATGGGGCCCTGCTGCTGAATATGCTCTGCGAGCTCAGCGCGAGCCTCGGGCGGAAGTCCAGCCTGCTGTAAAATACTCGCCAGCGCCTCCTCTGAACCTGACGTCCGAAAAACCAGTTCACGCACTGCTTTATAAAATGCCTGCACGGCATCGAGGGGGATGAACAGAGCTGATAGCTTGCGAGCCTTGGCCAACTGTTGGAACAGACGAACCTCCAGCCCACCGAGATCGACCCCTAATCCAGCGACACCTCCGCACTGCCTGGGGCCCACATAGGCCTGAAGATGAGGGCCAATATCTGCACGGACAATGGCTCTGAACCTCTTCCCAAGATGAGACGATCCCAAGATACTGCGGCAACCGCTGCGATCCCCAGGGTCACCTTTTTTGAACAGCGGCCAGTAGTAACCCCCTTTCCATTGGATCGGCTCCTGGACCCTCAAAAAGGACTCGACGACAAGGGGGAAGAGGAGCTGGGAGATCGGTTTAAACAGCTTCTTGACCATAGCTCCAGAGATGCCATCAGGACCCGCTGCTGCACATTTGGCCTTGCGGCAGGACCTCTCTACTCTGGCGAGCGTTGGAACCTCTCTGACGTCGAAATGAATGCCCTGCAAATGATCAGCTGGGAGAGCGGGCAGGACGCTGGCGAACCAGTCTAGGTCCTGCATCGGCACAACTGGAGCTGCCTCTATAGCTGCGAAATGCCGCGTCCATGCCTCTAGCGTCTCTCTCTCTCTCTCCCTCTCTCTCCGAGTGCACCGGTTGTCCGTCATCGCCACGGAGAAGCGGGAGGGGTTGGGATCTGGTTCTACCTGGAACATGCGCCTACGGACCTAAGC